AGGTGTCAATCCATATCTGCCAAGTGACCCTATGTAGGGGGAACAGTCTCTATTCTGCTCTGTGTTAGTGTGTATCATGGTCTCTGAGGACAGGTGTCAATCCATATCTGCCAAGTGACCCTATGTAGGGGGAACAGCCCCTATTCTGCTCTGTGTCAGTGTGTATCAGGGATCCCTAGGACAGGTGTCAATCCATATCTGCCAAGTGACCCTATGTAGGGGGACAAGTCCCTATTCTGCTCTGTGTCAGTGTGTATCAGGGAACCTTAGGACAGGTGTCAATCCATATCTGCCAAGTGACCCTATGTAGGGGGAACAGTCTCTATTCTGCTCTGTGTCCATGTGCATCAGGGGCTCTGAGGACAGGTGTCAATCCATATGTCAAGGTGTCAATATGTCATATGTCAGGTGTCAATCCATATTCATTGTGATTTAGGAATGTTAGGTGATTTCTGGCCTTTATGGATTAAAACCAGACTCTGTATCAACTGTGTAATTTTCCATGGGAGTTTTGCCATGGATCCCCCTCCGGCATGCCACAGTCCAGGTGTTAGTCCCCTTGAAACAACTTTTCCATCACTATTGTGGCCAGAAAGAGTCCCTGTGTGTTTTAAAATTCGCCTGCCCATTGAAGTCAATGGCGGTTCGGGCGGTTCGCCGGTTCGCGAACATTTGCGGAAGTTTGCGTTCGCTGTTCGCGAACCGAAAATTTCGGGTTCGCGACATCACTATCCATAATCCCCTCTCCCGCTCCCCAGTTCAAATACAATTTTGCTGTAGACATCCCTACGGCTACTCGAACTGCTACCGTCTGTCCTGATCTCTTGTGCTCCGGGATTAGCATGATGGTAGCACCAGTGTCTCTCAGTCCCTGAGCAGTACGGCCGTTCAGCTGTACCTCTTGTCTGTGGTGCTGGCGGTTGTCCCCTGAGGTGGCATATACTGGATCTGCCTCATGGAGTGGCCCTAGATGCTCTTCCATGTGTGAATCTCAGTCCACACAGAGAGCCCTGGCTGATCGATTAGGACTGTATGATTATTCCGGGGGGCCCGATTGTTGAGGGATTTTCCCGTACAGTGATAGACTTTCCCTTATAATCCTGGTTTTCTCGTCCCCATTAATAATCGGTGGTTAGCTCCGCAATCAGCTACCTCCTAGGACGGTTGCTGGCAGTTCCCCCACGGCACTCCAATAAATCCTTTAATGTAGTGCATTTTAGTCGGTCATTATTACTCTCCATTCGTTCCGTGCCTCTCCTGGGGATCCAAGGATGGTCCCACTGCTGCCACCAAATGTTAAGGTATGCCTCAGGCTAGCTGAGGGTTGGACCACTTTGATGTCCTTGTCCCCAATCCTGGAGAGCGGTAGAGAGTTCCAATTCCACATCTAGCGATATTCCTGTAAGTGTAAAGTATCCATATGGTTCTTAGCAGAGTCAGCAATCAGCATTTCTCTACAGCACGAGTTGAGGCTGCGAGTTGAGGATAAGAAGTCTACTTTATTGAATCACAAGGCGCTGCTTAAATACACATTTTCAGACCAGAGGTACACCACTCTGGACCTGATGGTACAGACAACAACCAATGGGATCAAAGTGCCTCTTTTCAAACCCTCCCCTCTATCCTGGAGATAATTAGTTTTCAACGGCTACAATAACCTAATTATCTCCAGGTACAGGCAATATTCTATTTATTCAGACACATGAAAAACTGCATAAAAATCCATTAATCATACATCATATTGTTTAATGAGTACATTCAACATATCCCCAGACAACTTGGATCTGAGCGCACAAAATAGATCTCACGAATGGAGTGGGAACACCATGGGGATAAAACATTGTCTCTAGGGCTGTTTGGCACTATCAGCCCAGACATACTCTTCTATAGTGTCCTGTATGGGGTTGGTATAACATGTATAGTCCCAAAGTACCGAACGGTACAGTGTTCAGTGCGTTATGCATGAACGGACGTGGCACGGGGCATCCCAGTTGGGTTCACATAAACTAGTGTCCGAAAATGGTACTAGGCAATCGTCGAACAGGTCCTGCTGTGTGGTCGGCAGTTAAAAATGGCCGCCGCAACGTGTTCGTGCATACGGGTATCATTGAACACAATGAGCTGCAAAATGACAGAAGGTGGTTTAGGAGTACACCATATCCAGAAATATTATAAAGCATCCTTACTGGCACAAACAGTGGTGCTAATAGTCAAGACCATCACACCACTGTGGCATACATTATAACAATATAACATTGCTCCCCAACACGAGATATTGGACCTTATTTGGGTAGCATATTGTGCCCAACCTGCTAATCTTAATTTCCTATTTACAACACAAACCTCTTTGCAGATGTGGAGGAACTGGGCCCCTAAACATCTGGTAAGAGATACTTATTATTATGCAACTTTGCAAAGTTTAATTTATTATAGAAAAGATTTAAATGCTGATGTTGATACATGGAAACGCAAGGGGATAACTAAAGTTCAACATTTAATAACAGGCAAGGATATACACCAATTCCCAGATATACAAATCAAATATGGTGGCCGCCTGTTCTGGTATTGTAAAACAATTACTACCATGTGGAAACATATTCAACAAATTATATTTAATGTCACAAATATATTGGTGCCCCTACAACCAGAAATGTATATTATTCAAGAGAGGATACTCATGCAGGAAACTGCAATAATTATACATATTTTAATGACCACAAAAAATGCTATAGCTAGATTATGAAAAACCACACAAAAATTTCTAATACTAAAACCTACGAGGAGATAACAGGATGCAGGATAACAGGTAAACAAGATAACTATGAAAAAATCTGGGCGAGGTGGAAGTGAGGGTAATTCAGGTGGAAGGGAGTGAAAATCAATCAGCTGGATACTATGAACAGAGATATTTAATATTTACCAAACTGAGGCGTCATAAGTCGATATAAGCCTTTAAACTGACAGGGGTCTTGGCTAGGTTGTTACAAACTAACGAGATTGTAAATGTATGTAATCTTAGTAACCTCTTTTCCTGGCCATATCCATGGCAGCACAACAATGGGTTAGCTCCTCCCTATCCCTAATTAGACAGGAACAGAATTAAAATCAGGGGTATAAATACCCCCTCCCACCAATGGTCCCTTAGTCTTTTTTTTCCTGTCCTATCCCTATAGGACTCCAGTCATTGTAGACTGTGAGCATACTCTTTTTTCTCTTTGGCTTACCTGAGGGTTTTTACCTTTGGCCTCAAGGGAGTTCAGCCTCTCTTCCTTGGGAAGTCTCCAGTACGTGGCCCTGCGCAAAGGATATCCCCCTGGAGATGCTCCTTTAGTGACCGGGAGCCACTTGCAGTGACCCTAGGGGTAGCAAGCAAAATATTGCCAGTAAGGAACATTCCCTGCAGTAACCAAGTGGTAGCAGGAAGTGGCAGAAGAACCTCATCTACAGAAGATTCTTCCTACCTCTACCTGGCAGGCACAGTAAGTTTTAATGCATTTATTGTGCATTATTTTACTTATGGCTGTCAGGTTTTCCCCCTTCCACCTCTTTTCTATGTGCCACAGGATTACATTTTTTTTTTTTCCTTTTTCTTTCCCTTCTCTCTCCCCTTTTCCCCTTTAATTTTGATTTTACCGGGCTTGCCGCCATTTTGTCGGCGTCCTCCTGGTGCTCTGCGCCTGCGCGGACTGTGGGCGCATCATTCCCGGTCCCCGCGCATCTTCCACTTACTACAGAATCTGGGACGTTTTCTCCTACTGGGCTGCATCCAACCACAGGGATATTCAGTATATCTCCACCAAGGAAATCCTTGAATTTCTACAATCCGGTCTTGATAAGGGTCTAAGCTACAATACCCTGAAGGTACATATTTCAGCTCTTTCGGCCCTTACGGACCAAAGATGGGCCTTAAACTCAGACGTGATCAGATTTATGGCAGCAGTTTTGAAAATCAAGCCTCCTATCAAGCCCTTCGCTCCACCATGGGATCTTCCCTTGGTGTTAAGGGCTCTGAGCAATTCTCCTTTTGAACCTCTTGAATCCATCTCTCCTCAGTTACTCACCATTAAGACGGTTCTATTGGTGGCCTTAGCCTCAGGTAGACGAGTGTCTGAACTCCATGCCTTATCTACGAAAGAGCCCTTTACAGTGTTTCATAAGGACAGAGTTATTTTACGAACTGTTCCAGAATTTCGTCCTAAAGTGGTGTCAGCTTTTCACATTAACGAAGAAATAGTACTCCCGGCTCTTCATTCAGAGTCTTCTACTGAGGATGATGAATCTCGGCCTTCTCCATTGGATCTTGTTCGATGTCTGTCTATCTATCTACAAAGATCTTCAGCTTGGCGGATCTCTCAAAGGCTATTCGTTATCCCCAATGGCCCCAGAAGAGGCCTTCAGGCTTCTAAGATGGCCATCAGTAGATGGATTGTTGCCGCCATCGTTCAGGCTTACCAAGCCTCAAAGATGAAGGTTCCTGAGGGGCTCAAGGCTCACTCCACGAGGTCCCTTTCCTCATCTTGGGCAGCAGCTGCTAATTTGTCACCCGAGCTGATTTGCAAAGCAGCCACTTGGTCTTCTCCAAACACGTTTATTAAGCATTACCAGATTGACGTTAAAGCCAGCCAATCAGACTCTTTTGGCAAATCAGTCTTATCCGCAGTCAACTCTTCTTGATTGATTTCTCTTGCACGTGTGATTTCTAATACACCAGCATTTAAAATGTTCTTGAGTTTGTGTTTCTTTATTCCCTCCCTTGGTTATTGCTTGGGTATTACCCATTGTTGTGCTGCCATGGATATGGCCAGGAAAGATGAAAATTTATCCATACTTACCGTAATTTTCCTTTCCTGGTCATAGGCCATGGCAGCACTTAGATCCCGCCCTGGGATATTGCTGTTAACAAGACTAAGGGACCATTGGTGGGAGGGGGTATTTATACCACTGATTTTAATTCTGTTCCTGTCTAATTAGGGATAGGGAGGAGCTAACCCATTGTTGTGCTGCCATGGCCTATGACCAGGAAAGGAAAATTACAGTAAGTATGGATAAATTTTCATCTTTCTTTTATTTTGTGTGCTTGAACAAATTTGATTTAGGGTCACATTTTAATTTGTGTTAATTGCTGTGTATACAGTTTGTTCAAAATCAGTTCTAATTAAACCAATATACTAATTGATTAGGAGGAACTAACAATAATAAAATAAGATTTAGGATATGTATAAGCTGTATAAGTATGTATAAAGGATTGAATGTTGTGGGTGTTTTTTATTTTGCACTATTGTGTTCTTTATTTTGTTCTTTATATCACCATGCATATGCTGATGAATAAGTTGTAACTGCCACACATCCATCAGCTGGTTGGAAACCCCACCGCATGAGTGGAAATCTATAAGTTTTTGTTGTGTATTCTGCCTGCCAACATTATTGTTTTTTATCTTTTCACCTATGTCCATGAAATACACAAGTCTGAAGTAATACCATCTGGAGGATTGTAAAAATGTAGTTTGTGAAAGTCCCATTGGACTTGTTTTTATAATTTTTTCTATAATTAACTAGTTTTTTTGGCACAACTCATATTTGTTATATTTTACTCTAAAAAGAGGTTCATCCTCATAAATAGATGCAATATATAATCACTGGGCATCTCCTGACCCTCTTAGCATGTTTTTTCTTTGGCAGTTATAATAAACAGTTACACAAGTTGTCTTTCTTGTATTCATCTTTGCCAGAACTTATTTTAGGATATTATTTTAGGAAAGCACATCTGCTACCCGAGCACAGGTATATTAATTGTTATTTATCAACGATGCATGATAGTAAACTATTAGCATTATTATTATGCTGCTAAGTGAATCTATGTAAATATTGGTAGTATGGAGAAATTGCTATATTATAATAATAATTAACAACTGATTTTAGGTGTTGGACACTGCTATTATTTGAGCTATACATATGAATGTACAAAATACAGCTAGTCAAACACAGCAATGAAAAAAGCTCATGAACAGAGATTTACTTAAATATAACAGATACATCAGTGCATACAATTTTGATACAATGACAATTTTGATGTGACACATACAAATATGAAAAGCAAAGCAAATACTGTTTTATGTTATGTCACCAGATGCATAAGAATACAAAGCAATGTTCTTTATAATTAACAAGTGTATACAAAATCAGTTAAAGTTTTTAATGAATAGTGCTCAATATTTGTTTTTTTTTTGTTTATGTTAAATGTAATATGCATCCAAAAATGTATAAAATCAGATGAATATACCATACAAGCTTTGTTTTTTTGTTTTTTGCGTTTTAATTAAACAGTTTTGTGGTCAAGTGTTATGAATACTATAGAATGGTTCTCCTTAGATTTGCAAAGTTCCTCTCGTAGGAAAACAGTAAATTTATGTTTATGTATTATTTCATGGTGACCCATGTTTTATAGTTTTTTTCCATCAGCAAAATTGTTGTCTTCTGATTTTAAATAACATTCTCAAAGAGCTGTAAAGACCTCATAATATTGTCATCCTGTAATTAAAAAAAGAAAAAAAAACATTAGGCAGTTTTTCAAAGCAATACAAATAAAAACATGATATTGTTAAAGTGATATTCTAAACACTAAAACCACTACAACTTAAAGAGTAACTGCCACTTCTCATGGTTTTTAATATTATCTTTACTTATCCATACATTTAACAAATACTTATTAGTGAGTTGTACAAAACTAAACTAACCCCTTAAGGATGGAGGTACGTCCTGAACCAGAAGAAAACCTTGAATTTGAGATTTAGGTTTGTTCCACTGCAATTTAAGGGTTTCTCTTCAAATTTTCGCACACATATTATATATAGTTTTTTAAAGGACAGAAAAGATTTTCAATAAGCATCCTATATATCTGTTAAGACATCCCTGGCACAAAGGAGTGAAATCGTTGTTTAGTTAAGCTTCCCCTTCCTCAATAATGCAGGCTCAATTCGTGTATACTTTAACTGTACGAACTGCAATCAGGGGAATGCGCCAATCTCCCGAACAAGACCCGTACAGATGCGCCAAGCTCCCGAACAATAAATCCACGAATTGCGGATAACAGCCGAACAAATATATCCTCCAAGCGGCTTAAGTTTCCAGCGATCAGTCGCTAACCGTGTGTAGTAAATCCCCCCAATAACGAGACCAAGCTCCACATTGAGGAAAAAACAAGAACTGGCTTTACTGTGGGCTACCCGCCCGTATTTATGCAGGTCTCCCACTTGGTGGACTCTCCCCTAGGGGACCAAATGGGAGACTGTAATTGCAGACAGACATATGGCACTTTAAGACATACAGGCACAAAATATTCCCATAATGCATCCTGGTTTCCTCCCCTCTGCCCTGGAGATAATTGAGAAGTAATTCAATTATCTCCCAGGACAGAGGCAAATCGCCATTTTACATGAAGCATAAAAAAACACATCAAAATAAATAATTATACAACATGGAGTCAAAGTCTTTTACAGACTTTCGGTATGCAATTGACTCCATGGGATGGCTATCTGGGTTAAGTCCATTCGTATAATCCAAACTCCCGAACGGGCCGGTGTTCGCATGCCTTGACGAATGAGAGTAGTCTCAGCGGTGTTCAGCAGAAAAAGTGTCAGTTTTTAGTTCCATAGAATCTGTGCCGAACACCGCTGGTCTCAGCGGTGTTCAGCAGAAAAAGTGTCAGTTTTTAGTTCCATAGAATCTGTGCCGAACACCGCTGGTCTTTCGCATGGTCGGCATACGAACGACGACCACCCTGCATTAGGTTATAATCAAGAGGTGTCTGCGGTTAACCCCAACATTCTAATTGGGATCAAGAGGTTAACCAACAGCACACTTCTCTTCTGGGTGGCCGTCCGTTCGGTAAGTTCATTCGGCCAAAAAGTCAAAAAGGCGAATAGGGGCATACGGACAGGTAATTCCACGAAAGGAAGGCAAATTAGACGAACCAGCAATATTAGTCTTACAGATGAATCTGTCACAATATCATATATATATATATATATATATATATATATTTATTAAGAGAAATATATATATGTCACAAACCCTTTATATATAAAATTTGTATCTTGTAATACCTTTTACCTATTACCTATTACAAGATACAAATTTGATCAGTTTTTTACATCTACATCAGTGGACAAATACGGCTCCAATAAAAAAGGTATTACAAGATACAAATTTTATTAGTTTTTTTTACACACACACACGTATATATATGTGTAAAAAAACAGATACAATTTGTGTGTCAATGTGTGTGTAAAAAAAAAAAAAACAATCAAATTTGTTCTCTCTCTCTCATATATATATATATATATATATATATATATATATATATATATATGCATATATATATTTATTAATGTACGGGATAATGAATGGGGCATATAATTAATAAATGTAAATTTGATAAAAGCAAGAGTTGGTTGAGGTGTGCCGAACACCAAATTTTTTCACGTTGCACATCCGGTGCAATTAATTAAAAAGAATAGATTCATATATCAATCCTGATTGTTAAAAACCTAATACGTTTAGGATCTCAATTAATATTTGATAGTTAACGCTAACCCTATACCAATCCCCACACTATACCCCAACCATACCCCTTATCCAAAGCTTACACGAACTGTATGCCTATCCTAATCTTACTCTTAACTTAACCCTACACTTTCTTTCACCCTAAAACAGCATTACCCACACCCAGCATTAACCCTAATCAAACACCAAACATTAAATCTAAACCGAACCCTATCCTGACCAATCTCGCCACATTGCATTGGAGAAGCCTGGTTGCTCGCCTGCTGCCTTTGGACTATGGCCCCCTTTTAAAAGACTTTATTTTTGCCTGCAGAAAAGCTGTATTCGTGCTTTTCTGCCTGGGGTTCGGTAGATTTGTTTGAATGTGTTATACCCCAGATAGGAATCCCATGGAGCCCATTAGTATGAAACTGACTGTAAAGACTTTGGCTCCATGGCGATTAAACTGTATTCGTGTGGTCTGAGCGCCATTCACTTAATAATGTGCGCTCGGACCTGAGCTATCTGGGGATATGTTACATGTCTGTGTTTTATGTAATAAATGTGACTTTATGTATTTTAAAGTGTTTTATGTCTCTTTGCAACCATGTGCTTAATGGAGTCTTGTGTCTGTCCTGGGAGATAATTGAATTACTTATCTCCAGGATAGAAGACTCTGAAACTGGTTTGGGCCAGAAAGCCATGCTTCATTTAGTCACAAAGGACTTTTTACTAACTTTGAACCCCTTGTCTGATTTGTGCCATTTTTGAATATGTTGTTCCCCTGAATGGATTGATTGAGAATATGTAATTTTATGTGAATGTGATGTATGGTTTTGGAGTTATGAAAGTTGGGTAGAAAGTATGTTTTAACTGTTTGTATAATTGAGTTTACTCTCAGGATAAGGGGAGGGAATATGTGGGATGTAACTGTGATATGATTGGTTGTTTTATCCCTCCCTGTGGGTGGTCCTGTATTTGAAACACTGTAATAAAAACCAGGCTGGGTGTGCCAGCACCTCAGGCCACTGCTTGACCCTCAACACGGAGCCTTGTCTCATTCTTGGGGGGATTCACTGTATGCTGTTAGAGACTGATTGCCAGGAGTGTAAGCTGTTCGTCTGCTTTTCCTGTTCGTCTGCTAGCAGCTATTTGGGAGGTTCCAGTTCGGGAGTTGGAGTGCTATTTTGTATCCAGTTCGTGAGTTTTGGTGTTCTGCAGTGGCTGTGCCTGGATCTCTGGAAAGGGGGCCGATCGCCTAAACGGTTTTTACCCCTTGTGTGCAAAACGGTCCGTTACAATTGGTGGCAGCGGTGGGATCGTTCCTACAGCCAGAAGGACAGCTACAGGAGACACCATTTCTTTGGATTTACAAGTTAAGGGCAACGCATGCCCCAGTACAGCGACCCTGACAGCACCAGGATGGAACCAGCAGTGGCGTACAGATACTCTATGAGAGAGTATGACCGTATGATGTGGTTGCGGCTGAACTTCTTTGGACCCAATCCAGCTGAGAAATACGTGCAGTCCATGAGAAACCTAGTGTTCATGAATCTGCAACACCGGGCAGAAAGAGAAGGTGAGCTGGCACGTTGGGAGGAACTCCAGCGACAGGTACTGCAGGGAATTGGGAGCCCAGTCTCCATTCCCCAGCGGCAGTGTGATATGCAGGGAATTGGGAGCCCAGTCTCCATTCCCCAGCGGCAGTGTGATATGCAGGGAATTGGGAGCCCAGTCTCCATTCCCCAGCGGCAGTGTGATATGCAGGGAATTGGGAGCCAAGTCTCCATTCCCCAGCGGCAGTGTGATATGCCGGGAATTGGGAGCCCAGTCTCCATTCCCCAGCGGCAGTGTAAAGTGCAGGGAGAGGAGAGCAGCGTCCTCCCTCCCCAGCGGCAGGCTGAGTTACAGGGGGCAGAGGTAGTTGTTCCTGCCCCCCAGCGGCAGAGTGATATGCCGGGAAGGCAGTGTAAAGTGCAGGGAGAGGAGAACAGCGTCCTCCCTCCACAGCGGCAGGCTGAGTTACAGGGGGCAGAGGTAGTTGTTCCTGCCCCCCAGCAGCCAAGTGATATGCCGGGAAGGCAGTGTGAAGTCCAGGGAGAGGAGAGCAGTGTCCCCCCTCCCCAGCGGCAGCGTGATTTTTTGGGAATTGGGAGCCCAGTCTCCATTCCCCAGCGGCAGTATGATGCTTTGGGAATTGGGAGCCCAGTCTCCATTCCCCAGCAGCAGCACAGATTATTGGGAATTGGGAGCCCCGTCTCCATTCCCCAGCGGCAGAGTGTCCTACCGGGAATAGAGAGCCCAGTCTCCTTTCCCCAGCAGCAGGACTCTGTATTGGGAGCAGAGACAGTCGGTCTCCCTTCCCCGCAGCTGGAAGTATGTATGAGAGAGGAGCATGTTACCCCCTCTCCCCAGCAACAGGGCTGTTTAGCCAAAGGGGAGACAGTCGGTCTCCCCCTCCAGCAGCAGAGATGGGTAACCAAAGGGGAGACAGTCGGTCTCCAGCGGCAGGACTGTGCATCTAAAGGGGAGACAGTCAGTCTCCCGCAGCAGAGCGGTGTATTTAAAGGGGAGACAATCGGTCTCCCCCTCCAACAACCAGGCTTCAACCAGGCTACCCTCCCAGTAGCGCTGGCAACAGGGCAGAGTGCCGCTGGTCTCTGCCCACGCAGCAACCCACCAAGTCAGCATACCCGTACCCAGCACAGCCGTGGTGAGGCACCTGGACATGGACAAACTTCTCCTTTACCCAGGTGTAGTAACCCTTTATTGTGGGTGGGCTGTGCTGTTGATTATGTGTTGTGGGTGGGCTGCTGGACTAACAAGGGCACTGACCGGCAGGAGGTCAGATACCCTGTTAGTCTGTTTGGAAAAGGGGAGAGATGTGACGAGACCAATCTCGCCACATTGCATTGGAGAAGCCTGGTTGCTCGCCTGCTGCCTTTGGACTATGGCCCTCTTTTAAAAGACTTTATTTTTGCCTGCAGAAAAGCTGTATTTGTGCTTTTCTGCCTGGGGTTCAGTAGATTTGTTTGAATGTGTTATACCCCAGATAGGAATCCCATGGAGCCCATTTGTATGAAACTGACTGTAAAGACTTTGGCTCCATGGCGATTAAACTGTATTCGTGTGGTCTGAGAGCCATTCACTTAATAATGTGCGCTCAGACCTGAGCTATCTGGGGATATGTTACATGTCTGTGTTTTATGTAATAAATGTGACTTTATGTATTTTAAAGTGTTTTGTGTCTCTTTGCAACCATGTGCTTAATGGAGTCTTGTGTCTGTCCTGGGAGGTAATTGAATTACTTATCTCCAGGATAGAAGACTCTGAAACTGGTTTGGGCCAGAAAGCCATGCTTCATTTAGTCACAAAGGACTTTTTACTAACTTTTGAACCCCTTGTCTGATTTGTGCCATTTTTAATATGTTGCTCCCCTGAATGGATTGATTCCAAATATGTAATTTTATGTGAATGTGATGTATGGTTTTAGAGTTATGAAAGTTGGGTAGAAAGTATGTTTTAACTGTCTGTGTAATTGAGTTTCCTCTCAGGATAAGGGGAGGGAATATGTGGGATGTAACTGTGATGTGATTGGTTGTTTTATACCTCCCTGTGGGCGGTCCTGTATTTGCAAGACTGTAATAAAAACCAGGCTGGGTGTGCCAGCACCACAGACCACTGCTTGACCCTCAACACGGAGCCTTGTCTCGTTCTTGGGGGGATTCACTGTATGCTGTTAGAGACTGATTGCCAGGAGTGTAAGCTGTCTGCTTTTCCTGTTCGTCTGCTAGCAGCTATTTGGGAGGTTCCAGTTCGGGAGTTGGAGTGCTATTTTGTATCCAGTTCGTGAGTTTTGGTGTTCTGCAGTAGCTGTGCCTGGATCTCTGGAAAGGGGGCCGATCGCCTAAACGGTTTTTACCCCTTGTGTGCAAAACGGTCCGTTACAATCTGCATAAGTAGCCACCTTATGTTCTCCCCCTCCCATGGCGAACCCCGCTATACCCCCATTCCGTCTGACCGCCACCAGTAACAGTTCTAGCGTGAGGGCAAGCAGGAGAGGGGACAGGGGGCACCCCTGCCACGTTCCATTTCTAATCGAGAAGGTAGGGAACAGGGCTCCATTTATCCACAGGCAGGCCTTCGGGGTCTGGATATGGGGGCCTAAGCCCATTGCCCGTATGGACTCTTTCATGAACTGCCAATCCACCCGATCAAAAGCCTTCTCGGCGTCCATGGAGAGCAGGAGGCCCCCACGGGCTGTTCTCTTGGTGGCATGTATGAGGTTGAGGGCCTGTATCATATTATCCTTCGCCTCTCGTCCTGGGATGAACCCCGTCTGGTCTGGGTGTACCAGATCCGGAGCCACTCTACCCACCCGGTGGGCCAGGATCTTCGTGAATAATTTGAGGTCCGCATTGAGGAGAGAGATAGGTCTATAACCGGTGCACGAAGTGGGATCCTTCCCCTCTTTCGGCACAACTGCCACAGTAGCCATGAGTGTGTCATTTGGGAACCTCCCGCCCTCCAATATGGAGTTAAGGCTTGCCAGCAGCTCCGGTAGAAGGATCTCCACGTAGATATCGGACCGGGAAGCCATATGGTCCCGGGGCTTTGTTCACCTTGGCGGCTTTAAGGGCGCCAGATAGCTCCTCCAGCATAATGGGTGCGTCCAGGTCTTCCGTCTGGGCTTGCGTGAGCTTCCGGGACACGTGTTGCTCCAGGTATTCCCTGACTCTGAACAGTCTCTGTTGAGTCTCCGCTATCCTTGTGTCTACCGGCAGGTTGTATAGCTTAGTGTAGAACTCCTGGAATTCAGTCACTATTTTATCCAGCCTCCAGATGGGAGGTGCACCCGCCGTCTGCAGTACTGTGATTTGTGACTGTCGTCGCTTCTTTTGCAGCATTCTAGCTAGCATACGTCCGCATTTGTTTGAATGCTCATAGTAGTATCTGTGGGATTTACGGAGTGTATGCGATAGATTCCGGAATAAAAGGCTTTTCAGGTCTTTTCTGGCCTCTAAGAGGGTACGGTAGTTGTCATCCGTCGGGTCAAATCTGTGTGCCCGTTCGAGCTACGCAGTTCGTGCATGCAGGTCCTTTAGTTGGTTATTTTGCTCCTTTTTACGTTTGGAGCAGGTCTTGATGAAATGGCCCCTTAGAACGCATTTGTGGGCTTCCCACCATATCAGGGGCGAGGTGTTTGTTGTATGATTGTCTTCGAAATAGTGTCTCAGGACCTCCCTCGTCTCAGCCTGGAGCAGGGTGTACCCCTGTACCTGTTCATTAAGCCTCCATTGTCTACTGCTAGGCTTGAATAGGGGAGAGCGCATCATGGCTAGGACCTGGGTGTGGTCCGACCAGACCGCCGTTTGGATCTCACAGGACAGAAGAAGGTGCAGGAATTCCTGCGCGATCAAAATATAGTCGAGGCGGCTATACCCGTGGTGCACCTGCGAGTAGAACGAGAAGTCTCTGTCTTCAGGGTGAAGGACCCTCCAGGTATTG